ATTTCCCATAAAAGGATCCACTCAGGAGAGAAACCATATAAATGCATGGAGTGTGGAAAGACCTTTGCTCAGAGCAGTGGACTCAGAAACCACAAAATGATCCACACAGGGGAAAAACCATTTAAATGCTTGGAGTGTGGAAAGACATTTGCTCAAAGAGGTAATTTTATTTCCCATAAGATGATCCACACAGGGGAGAAGCCGTATAAATGCATGGAGTGTGGAAAGACTTTTGCTCTGAGCAGTGGACTCAGAAACCACAAAATGATCCACACAGGGGAAAAGCCATTTAAATGCATGGAGTGTGGAAAGACATTTGCTCATAAAGGTAATCTTATTTCCCATAAGATGATCCACACAGGGGAGAAGCCATATAAATGTACGGAGTGTGGAAAGACGTTTGTTCAACAACGTAATCTTATTTCCCATAAGATAATTCACACCGGGGAGAAACCATATAAATGCACTGAGTGTGGGAAAACTTTTACTCGTAGCTATGAACTTACTATCCACAAAAAGATCCACACAGGAGAGAAAACATATAAATGCATGGAATGTGGAAAGACCTTTGCTCAGAGCAGTGGACTTAGTTGCCACAAAAAGATACACACAGGAGAGAAACCATATAAATGCATGGAGTGTGGAAAGACCTTTGCTCAGAGCAGTGGACTTCGTTCCCACAAAAAGATGCACACAGGAGAAAAATCGTACAAATGCACAGAGTGTGGAAAGACATTTGCTCATAGAGGTAATCTTATTTCCCATGAGATGATCCACACAGGAGAAAAGCCATATAAATGCACGGAGTGTGGAAAGACCTTTGCTCAAAGGGGTAATCTTATTTCCCATAAGATGATCCACACCGGGGAGAAGCCGTATAAATGCATGGAGTGTGGGAAGACCTTTGCTCTGAGCAGTAGACTTAGTTCCCACAAAAAGATCCACACAGGGGAGAAGCCATATAAATGCACGGAGTGTGGAAATACCTTTGCTCAAAGAGGCCATCTTATTTTCCATAAGATGATCCACACAGTGGAGAAGTCTTATAAATGCATGACATGTGGGAAAACCTTTAGTCGTAGCAGTGAACTCACTAGCCACAAAAAGATCCATACGGGAGAGAAATCATATAAATGCATGGTGTGTGGAAAGAGCTTTGCTCAGAGCAGTGGACTTAGCATCCACAAAAAGATCCACATAAGGGAGAAACCATTTAAATGCATGGAGTGTGGAAAGATCTTTGCTCAAAGCCGTTATCTTGCTTCCCATAAAAAGATCCACTCATGAGAGAAACCATTGAAATGCACAGCATGTGGGAAAACGTTTACTCAAGGCAATGGACTTACTACCCACAAAAAGCTCCACAGAGTGGAACAACCATATAAATTCATGGACTGTGGGAAGACCTTTGCTCAGAGCAGTGCTCTTCTCATAA